CTTGGAAAAAGGTAAGCCTGTTCCGAGGAACAGTAAGTTGTCTTCATTGTGTGTTTTTCTAGATGAAAATAAGCTGATGAGAGTTGGTGGTAGATTATCTCTGTCTGACTTGCCTGTTAATTCTAAGTTCCCCATCATTTTACCGGGTAAGAATTCTTTAACCACCATAATTTTGAGATATTGTCATTTAAAATATTTGCACTTGGGACCACAAGCATTATTATATCAAGTTCGACAAAAGTTCTGGCCTCTTAACGGTAGAAATAATTGTAGGAAAATTGTACATAGTTGTATCACATGTTTTAAAAACAAACCTGTTATGAGTAATCAAATAATGGCTGATCTACCAAAGGAGCGTACAAGACCTAATTATCCATTTAACATCACGGGAATTGATTTTTGTGGCCCATTTTCTATTAAGTTCAAAAACCAGAGAAAAGGGGTCACAAATAAGGTTTATGTTGCTGTTTATATTTGCTTGTGTACCAAGGCAATACACTTAGATTTTGTAACTGATTTAACTTCTCAATCGTTCATTGCCAGTCTAAAACGTTTTTTTGGGAGACGGGGCAAGTGTTCAAAAATTATGACCGATAATGCAAAAACATTTATCGGTGCTAACATTGAGATTAAGAAGTTAAGGAAATTGATAAATTGCCCAGATGAGACGTTAGCCAGTTATTTTACTAACGAAGGGATTGATTGGAAATTTATCCCACCAAGGTCACCAAACTTCGGGGGAATTTGGGAGGCTGGTGTGAAGTCGTTTAAGTTCCACCTAAAAAGAGTAATTGGCAATCAAAATTTAACTTTAGAAGAATTCTTGACAATTTTGACTGAAATCGAAGGTGTTTTGAACTCCAGACCTCTCACTCCACTATCACCGGAGTTTGATGAATTTGAAACTCTATCACCTGGTCATTTCTTGATAGGTAGGCCCATCACCTCACTCGCTGAACCCCAACTAATAGATATAACTGAGAATAGGCTTTCTAACTGGCAAAAGATTAATAAGTATAGTCAGAGAATATGGAAGTTGTGGAAAAGGGATTACCTTAATAATTTACAGGAACGTAATAAATGGAAATTTGAAAAGAATAATGTAGAAATAGGAACCCTGTGTTTGATAAAGGAAGAGAATTTACCATCTACGCAATGGTTAGTAGGACGAATTGTTGAGGTGATGCCTGGCCGTGACACAAAAATAAGAGTAGTGAAGTTAAGTTTACCTAACGGCAAACAACTTCAAAGAAATATTCGTGACATTTGTATTCTTCCCATAGAGTAATTGTGCAAATAGAAAATTAGCTTTAGTCTTATATCTCAATGTCTGCTTTATGTCACAATGTTATTTGTATGATTCATATATATTTTTTCTCTGTATAACATTATATTGCTAATTGTGTAAAATTTATTGAAATTTGCAATTTCAATCGTGGGGAGTGTTAATTCCCATTAAACATATAGATGGCGCTGTAAGCGTAAATTGAATTTAATTGTAGAACTGAGTGCTGGAAGCAGCAGTGTATGTGTATGTGTAATGTGTAACGGGCTCACGAGCGAGTCCGTAATGCTGGTACAAAATAAATGAGTATAAAATAAATACAGTCCAATTATTGTGTGTGAGCTATTGATCTGACCAAACTGGTCAGATGGAGCCACAGGATTATACAAACCCATTTTAAAAGGAAAGGTATAGCGATTTCACTCAGCCATATCAGTCGCATCAGGAATTCAAAACTCGGATCGATGCAAAATAATGCAAAACCAAAACGAAGTGAACGGCCAAGCAAATTGAAGAAATCAGATTTGAAGAAGCTTGATAAGATGACATCAAAACCGGGTCCACCAACACAGGCAAGCATGGCTAAAGCTCTTAACGTGAGTCAGAAAGTTGTAAGCTATCAACTAAAACAAAAGTTGAAGAAAAAATGCCATAAAAAACCTATAAATGTCATCATTTAAGTGAGAGATCTGTGCAGATTAAGAGGCAACGTTCATGGTCCCTCTACAAGTTTCTCCGTAAGGACAGATGGCGAAAGTTCATTACAACTGATGAAACTTGGATCTATCTATCTTATACCAATGCTAAATCTAAAGTTCAATATCTTAGCCGAGGGCAGAACAGGCGAGACTTGACACCATCAACCTCGGTGCCTCATTCCAAAGACGTAATGGTTTGGATGGGCATATCCGCCCATGGTGTGACCAAACCTCGGTTTGTGAAACCTGGGGCCAAAATAAATTCAGAGTATTACATATCGAAGATATTAAAGCCCTTTCTTGAGGATGATTACTGCAGATTTTACCCTAATGGTGATGCTGTTTCAAATCAGGACTCTGCCCCATCGCATGCATCTAAGGTCACCCAGAAATTCCTAACAGATCAGCAAGTGTAATTCCTGAGACCAGAACAATGGATTCCAAACTGTCCTGATGCTGCACCATGCGATTATTTCCTATGGGGACATCTGAAAAACAAACTGAATAAGCGAAGTATTTCTACATTGAGAGGCCTTCAAAGAGCTATTAGAGAAGAGGTGAAGAAAATCCCCCAGGAAATCATTTTGCGGGCTTTAAAATCATGGCCGAAGCGTTGTAGACAAATCTATTATGTCGGAGGTCGACATATTGAGAATCACTGCTGCATTTATGTAATAAACGTTGGAAATAAAAGCATTCAAAAATGATCCCTATATTTTTTTGTTACCCTGTAGTCAAAAATGCAACAGAAAACATTTTTTTTTCAGTCAACTCATCCATAACTTGGTATATTGCTTTGAAATTTGATGAGAAAGCAAAACTGGTTTCCTTAGCAAAACGCAGCAATCTGAACATTTCTAAATTTTCTTTAAATGATTTTTCAAATCATCGGTACCTTTTGGGACGACGGGTAATTTATTTAACGTTTTCCTTCTCACTCCCGTGAAAATGACGAGGTGAGGTTTCACCCTCTATTTCTCGCTCCCGTGATATTGACGGGCTGGAATGTTCAGTAGTAACGCGCCAATAAGAATAAAACTAATTCATTTCTTTTGCCCGGAAAACATTTTATTTCTCATTTTGCACACCAAATGACAGTACAAGGATACTTTTAAGGTTATTGTAGATAGTTTATTTTAAACTAGATGTCAGCAGTAATCAAATACGTAATAGAAATACAATATCCAAAAAAATAGGCACTTTTATGACCATTTTCTTGAAAATTTACCAATCGTCAAGGGGATAAACTAACTATGCGATAGTATTAACCCATATTAATATATATAAATATATTTTTTTTTAATTTTAAAACTAATTTTTATGGAATATAATGCTTTTTTAGCGGAATTATCAACTAGCGCTAGTGTTGAAACTACTTAAATGTGTTATTTTTTGCCAAAAGTACATTGCCAAAAATACATGATGGATTTTATTGGTTTAAATAAAATTTAATCATGGCTGCTGAAAATTTACACTCGCGTCTTTGGAGATATATGCTTTGATATGAAACCACGATAGTTTAATTGCCTTCTAGGTATAAGATCCTTTTCAATGAGAAAACCATTAACTTGAGTGTCCAAACTTTCTTTTAATTAAGAGGCTGGCTGTCGGTGGCAATTAACGAACACAGAAAACTCTTAATCTTCTAGAAACAGACGGAACGACGTTTGGGATCTTTTCGAAATTACATCCGTCCTCCAAAGATCATTCATCACATTTGATTTCTTTCACTTGGGGGAGAAAGAGTTGAGATCAGTAGAAATATCCTTCATCTGAGCAAAAGTTTGACGTTTGACATGTTTACCTGAATAAAAGGAATCAAACTTTGAAAACCAGTAAAGCTTAAAAGTAAATTCCAATTTAAGTTTTTGTATTAACAGTCAGGATATTTGCTTTCTTTGACTGTGAAAATAGTCCAATCGACTAACGTTGAGACTTTAGAGACTAATAACCAATTTTTTTTTAATTTGTAGCATTTGAGCAATGTTCTGGCACTTGACATTTTTACCAGTATTAATAGAATAATTCTTTGGAATCGAAGCTGAGAAGTAAAAATTCTGTGTTATTAGACAGGGTATTTGCTTCTTTACCTATGAGAATAGTAATTCCAACGTTTTTATAAGAACTAATAACTCAAGCACTGTTCTTGCACTTGACATTTTTACCTGTATTAATAGAATAATTCTTTGGAATAGAAGCTGAGAAGTAAAAATTCTGTGTTATTAGATAGGGTATTTGCTTCTTTACCTATGAGAATAGTAATTCCAGCGTTTTTATAAGAACTAATAACTCAAGCACTGTTCTTGCACTTGACATTTTTACCTGTATTAATAGAATAAGGCTTTGGAATAGAAGCTGAAAAGTAAAAATTCTGTGTTAGACAGGGTATTTGCTTCTTTACCTGTGAGAATAATAATTCCAGCGTTTTTATAAGAACTAATATCTCAAGCACTGTTCTTGCACTTGACATTTTTACCTGTATTAATGGAATAAGGCTTTGGAATAGAAGCTGAGAAGTAAAAATTCTGTGTTATTAGACAGAGTATTTACTTCTTTACCCCTGTGAGAATAATAATTCCAGCGTTTTTATGAGAACTAATATCTCAAACACTGTTCTTGCACTTGGCATTTTTACCTGTATTAATAGAATAAGACTTTGGAATAGAAGCTTAGAAGTAAAAATTCTGTGTTATTAGACAGAGTATTTGCTTCTTTACCCCTGTGAGAATAATAATTCCAGCGTTTTTATAAGAACTAATATCTCAAGAACTGTTCCTGCACTTGACATTTTTACCTGTATTAATAGAATAAGGCTTTGGAGTAGAAGCTGAGAAGTAAACATTCTGTGTTATTAGACAGGGTATTTGCTTCTTTAGCTGTGAGAATAATAATTCCAGCGTTTTTATGAGAACTAATATCTCAATCACTGCTCTTGCATTCGGCATTTTTACCAGCATTAATAGAATGGAGCTTAGAAATAAAAACTTAAAAGTAAGTTTTTGTTAAAGTTTCTGTGTAATTAGACAGGATATTTGCTTTCTTAGTAGATCAAATAATAAATTTAGAGACTTAGGAAAAACCAATAACTATTTTTTTTTAATTTGTAGCATTTAAGCAATGTTTCGGCATTTGACAATCTAGCCTGTATTAATAGAATAAATCATGAAAGTAAACTTTTAGTACTCATACTGTGCTATTAGACAAAATATTTTTCTCTCCAGCAGTACAAATGAAACATACAGGATTTTAGGAAAATCCAATGACCAATTAGTTTATTTTAAGTTTGCAGTATTTGAATAATTTTCTGACACTTGACATTCTAACTCGCAGTAATGGAATAAGGCTTAAAACTAAAAATTTAGTAGTCATTCTGTGTTACTAAACAGAGGTATTTGCCTCTTTAGCTGTGCAAATAATAAAAGCAGTATTTTAGGAAAAACTAATAATTATTTAGTTTATTTCAAATTTGCAGCATTTTAACAATGTTTTAGCAATCGACATTCTAACCCACATTAATAGAATAAAGCTTAAAATTAAAAGTCTGGTACTCACACTGTGTTATTAGACAGAGTATTTGCCTCTTTAACTGTTCAAACAATAAATCCAGCGTTTTAGTAAAAACTGAAAACTAGTTTATTTTAAATTTGTAGCAATTGAGCATTATTCTTGCAGTTGAAATTCTAACCTGCATTAATAGAATAAAGGTTAAAAGTAAATGTCTAAATATTTTATGTTATCCACAGAGTATTTGCTTGTTTAGCTAAGCAAATAATGAATAAAACATTTTAACAAAAACTAATAAAAATTCATATCTATGAATGAAACAAAACTTTGAGCTTGAAAGATAAAAAGTAATTGCAAATACTAAAATCTTTATACGTTTGTATTGACTAAATTATTATCAAAAATATCTAATAAATGAATAATAAAAATATAATGTTATATTATAGATTAAAACATTCATTCTAACTAAGCAAACAATTGCCATTTAACATGTGCACATGAATAATAGGTTTAAACTTTGTATACCTAAAATACTTTTTTTTTTCGAAAAAAATTAATTCATTCATTTTTCACTATCCGCAAAGAGTTTTCTTTCTTTTAAAAATCAATAATTTTATAAATAGAGCGAAATACTTATCATTTAAAACATTCATTCACTAAGAAATACTTTCAAATGATCTGCAATAGATAATTTTAATCTGAGATAAACAATTAGTTAAATACAGCTAATTCAGCAGCATTTTCTCAAAAGTCCCTTAAATTTCATGTAATGATCCCCAACTCATCAAGCATGAGCAGAAA